GATTTTATCCAATGGGTATTTGTTTAATATCAACAGACGAATCAGCGGATACATTTCGTACATTATTTCGTGGTATTCAACAATGGGCATCAGCAGTTAATAATCAAGCCTATACAATCTTACATGTTATGGCTGATGGAGCACCCGGTAAGTAATAAAGCTGTGTACAAAAAATCATTTTGCAATACAATTGTCTTTGGTCTTAATTTGTGTAGGTTTAACAAGTGCCATGTCTGAAATTCCATTAGCAAGACGTTTAATGTGCTGGTTTCATATGATTGGTAAATGTCGCAAACATGCAAAACTAATTAAAGATAAAAAAAATGGTTATTAGTCGAACAAGATATTTTTAGTGTGCAATTAATATTTGACGATCGAATATTTGCAATAGCATCACGTCTTATATTATTAAAATGGTCGGTAGATGCTGAATTACATGATTTTCGACAATATTTTGAACAAGAATGGATATTATCGTTACTGTATTGGTATGAAGGAGCCGTTTGTTTAGCACCATCAACAAATAATGGACTAGAATCACTTAATGGTAGAATTAAAAAAGATTACACATTAAGAAATCGTCTTCCATTATCTGCATTTTTAAAAACAGTCGAACGAATGCTAACCGATTGGTCAAAAGACAGTGAAGAAAAACCATTTCAGTCACATATTACGTATAAAGATGATTTAAAATTAGGTGCATACACATGGTTACAACAAGTGGATAAAACACAGATATTACAGATGAATGCAAACGTTTATTTAGTACCATCCAAAAATGGAAACATGAGTACAACAACATGGGTTCAACAATTTTATGCAGTGGCCTAGAACAATTATGATGAACTAGTCAATTGGCTCAATTCAGCACGTTTAATAAGTTGTTCACGTTTACTACCACCATTATTTTGTACATGTCACACCGGTTTAAAAGAATATACCTGCGTACATGCTTTAGGTTTATTAATGTTGTGGGGTAGTCAACCAATGCCACAATTAATTGGTCAAAGAAAAGGAAAAGGCAGACCAAAAAAAGTTAAATTAGCATTAGCCAACGATTAAAATACGTATACGATTATATTTTTTGCTAGATTATTTTCTTTTTTTTTTTCTGTCGAAATGTTCTGCTGTAATTTGTTTTTGTGTGTTCTATAATATTAATGTTTTGTGCAATTAAATCATCTGGTTCAATTGAGACAGCATAGCTGTTAAATGAGCCTCAGATTAGAAGACGGTGCCATAACTTGCTGATATTCCGGGATCAATAATGTTATTCGAGAAAAAAATAGCTTTTTCCGGGATCACTTGTGTTATTATATAAGTAATTAAAAATTGTTTAAAAAATCGGTATCATTTGCGCATTTTCTTTTGAAAATTTATAACCGGGATCAATTGTGCTTAATTTCCGGGATCAAAGATTTAAGTGTCCTTTTTCTTTTATATCATATGGAGGATGGTAAGTCCTCCTTTTATCTATTTTTTTTTAAATTTTAGTCATTCAACAGTGAAGAAAAAGATAATACATGGTAAGTCATTCTATTCTTTTCTATACATATGTCATTAATTAATTTTTTTTTCTTTTCCTTTAGACGTCATCGTTCAATATCAAACAGGGTGAGTTATTTCTTTTTCTTTTTTGAGTATGAGAATAGGTGTGAGTTCTGTCCGTTGAGGTTAGGTTCGCGTTATACGAAGAACTTCCGGGTAGTCCCTAAAAGCCCGGTCAGGAACTGCTTTGGTGCCCGTGGCACACGACTGGGCCCTCAGACTCACTGACACATGACATCGGATGGGTGCATGCGGATGACTTGGGTCTTCCCATGCGTGCATGAGCCTTAAGCTTGCCACGCCTCCACCAGGGTAGTTCCTGGTCGCGCGCGCGAACAGAATAAGCATTGCTTTCATCAATTCAACTTGGATTTATTTTAAAGGAAAGAAAATAATCCATCGT